TGATGCGACACCCAGAAAAATACGGCATACTCCATTTAATCCTCCAGGGAAAGACTGAAGGCAAACGAGGTCCAGGCAGAAGAAAAACATCGTGGCTTCAAAATCTAAGGATTGGTTTGGACAAAACTCAGCAGCACTTTTTTGTGCGGCTGCTGATAAAAACAGGATCGCCAACGTCCGATAACGGATATGGCAGAAGAAGAAGAAGATGATGCACGGCCTTGAGTCATAACTGGCACAACTGGGATGCAAGTGTTCCTGAGAGTAACCAGGGCAGTATATGCCATTCCTTGCAGGGATGTGATATTGTAAGAAATTGGTCACATACAGAAATACGAACTGCAAATTCCAGACATTGAAAGCTCAGCTGATTGAGTAAACCCCAGACTGTGAAAGGCTTCGTCTGGAACAGTTTCCACATATTCACCAATGAGCCACCCTGAGCCAGGGGACTTTATTCAGTACTGTGCAATTGGCAGAGAATAGATTATAGTGGCAATACGGAGGACAATTGTTATTCTAAGGAGTTTAGGGATGCGTTTTGATTTCTCCTTCATATTAAGAAAAGTCTAGATGTTTTGAGCTCATTCTGAGCTAGCCTACTTGGTTGTTTTTTTTAAATCCTTTTACTGAATAAAGGAGAAAGAGAAGTCTTCAAGTACCTTTAGAGCTTTTCTCACTGTGAACGTCTCCGATTTTTGATTCCCATCCCGAAGTCCTGGGCCACTCAGTCAAAGTCGGGTCTTGCAGGGCCATGAAGTCACAGTTGCCAGAGTTTGATAAATACCTCGGGGTTGTTGTTTGTGGGAAACTTCTGCACAAAACTTAACACTGGGTACTGTTGAAATTGGATCCCTCTGGGGCATCTTTGCTGTCATTATTGAGCTCTTGGCAGCTTCGAAGAGATTTGGGCATCCCCTTGCTTGGCTTGTATGCTCCTCATGTTATACTTTTGAATCTGTTTGCTTGAGCTAATAATACATTTTAAAATCCCTTTATTTACTGGAGTATTCATTATCTCTGGATCCAAAAGAACCATTTGCCTGGGGACCTGATCACTGCCTTGACACTTGGCAAAACATAAACATATTTTTATTATTATAGCATCAACCTTTTGCATTCACTAGAACACACGGTGCCCTTTATCATTGTCCTCTGGCTAACTGTCACACCACCACTGCATGTTCCAAAGAGCATGCACATCCTTAAAAACAATGATCTTTTCAAAGTAAAATTAATATGCATGCTAATTTCTAGCCAGGAAAGGGAACCACTAGAGTGTAAGACCCCCAATGTATGAAACAATGTTGTGCTTTGAACACACACAGACACACAAGCCGCTTTCTTGAATTCTTTGCCTAAGAAATACAACTTGTGGATGCCAAAATACAAGTTTTCCTTTAGTGTGGATTTATTAGATACTCCAATTCCCTGTTCTACGCAACCGAAACTCCTGAATGTGTAATTTAGCATACTTTCACAACCATTTATAAATTATCGTTGTAGACTTTTTATTTTGTAGACGGTCTGTTAAACCCTCTATAAATAAAGGGGTTTGAGCACTTAAGCTTATAAGTCCAAATCTAGATGTCAAAAGTTGTTTTAGCAGGAGACGTTGCCACACGGCAATTCTGTCGAGGACGTTGCAGCTTTTCAAATGGGAAAGATTCATCATCTGATCCTTTTAATCTAATGTATGCACTCCAGATTCTCTCGGAATGTTAACTTAGCATGAAATAGAAGGAAGAAGAATTGGATAGTTAGGAGACATTCTGCCTCTGATTAATAACACCCGGAATTTGAAAATGACAAGCCCATCACCTCCCACATTTTTCAAGTTTAAGATACCTGTGTCACCCCTAAGTCTCCCATATGGCCACTTCAGATCCGCTATTCCGATGATGTCCCCTTCCCATTGTTCTTTCAGCTATTAAACAGTGAGTCAAACAGAGGTAGCATTGTTTCATCAGCAGAAGTACTAGACATTAATAAAACGGGGTTCTGTCTTTACTGCCTTTCATCACGAAGAAAAAAACCCTGCAGCTTATTTTGGGATGAGGGATTTGCCTTCCATCCTATTCTCCCCCTCCCGTAATGACATAAAATGCCAATTTAAAAGGTCAAAACAAATGAAGTAGATAACCTTTGGACCTGTTGGACTTTAGGAAATAGATGGGATCCTTATAATTGTGAGCATGGCCTCCTGCCCTTTAGAGTCCCCTGTTGATGGTACCTACAGTCCCCTTTTTATGACTCTATAGAGTGAAAGAAGGCAGTAGAGAGTTGTGTGGCTGTTTCTCTTTCCTAGCTAGATGAAAAGGCAGGTTTAGCATCTTCTTTCTCCTTGGATCATAGGCTTTGGAGCTCAGCCTCTAGCTGAGAGGATAAGAGTCCCTTCTTAGATTGACACTTGCCAAAAAAGAAGGCAGCCCCGTAGACTTCCTCCATTAACATCAATTGCACACTGTGCCCGTTCTTTCCAAGGTTAATGTATTCTTCTCCGCAGAAGAAAAGGACAAGGTGGTGGGTTGCAGGCAGATTTGAGGGTGTCAGCAGAAGAGAGGTGGAGTGCCTTCTTCAGTACACTTGCAACCATTTGAGCAGGGCTCCTTACATGCTTGGCCAGCTCTACAATTAAATTCCACTGGATCTAATGGGGTTTAGTGCTGAGTAAACCATCACAGATTGTGCTAACTTCTGCTTTGGGAATACTGACAGGAACTCCAGGCAACAGAGGTGCTGTAGCTGCCACGGAGACATAGCTTAGCTGAACTTGCAAAGGGTAATAGAGACCTGTACTCCTATCCCTCCTTAGAAATGTTCCTAAGCTGAACGGAAAACAAACGGAACCCCCTTTTTCTGCAAAATGCCGCCCATCTCACTCAGTGCCAAAACTGACCTTATTATTTCTTAGTTTTCTTCCCCTGCAAAAAAAAAAAAAAGCCTTCCGTTTTTCTACCTTACTCTCGGGCTTCTTGACAATGCATAGTTCATTTCACAAGATGGGGGAATATATATATTGAAGGGAAGGGGGCAGGCTAAAGACTGGTTAAGTGCCTTTTTTGTTACGCATCCATCCTTCCACTCTTTAGCCTTATGGATCTTATCTGTGAAAAGATCCCCGAGAGTTTTTCCATGGCTTTGTGTCAACGCTGCTAACATTGGATGCTCGTCTGTTTGGGATTGAACACAAGCAGAGAAGTAGCCAAGGAAGGTTCAGATTGTGTAACGAGAAGGATGTTATGCCCACTTGGAAAAAAAACAACGCATCAGACCATTACGTGCTGCAAGAGGAATGCCCCTGAGATTGTCTTCTCCTTTGAAAGAGTCTTGGAAGCAGTTTCATTTTCATCCAACAGGAATGAAATCTGATAGGAAAAAAAAATGCAAGCAAATTCTTCTGCCCCGGTAGAAATTTTAGCTGAATTGATCAGCCACCTCTCTAAAATTATTTGAAACTTCTTTTGAACCTTGTTGATGCTTGAGGTCCAAAGGACACTTCCAAGCTCCAAGTGTAGTTATGGGAAAAGGTCCTACATTTTAAAAAAGATACACGTTCTCGTTCATCTTGGGTCAATTTTATCCAGATAGTTGAACTTTACCATCTGATTCCTCCAAAATATACCTAACTCTGTAAAAAAGAATTCAGCACCTGTCTTGAAGTTGCCATCAACTCTTAGTGACCGCCAGATCCAGCACTGACAACTTTAAGAGCTATAGATTTCAACTCCCAGAATTCTCCATGCTGGCTGGGGAATTCTGGGAGTTGAAGTCCACACATTTTAAAGTTGCCAAGGTTGAGAAATACTGACCTTGATTTTTCTCCAGGATGAACGCAAGACTTACTGCTTTTTTAAAAGGCACAAGTTCTTGAATTTATATTTCATTTTGTACGGTATGGTTTCTTCGCTCTGGTGACTCCTCATTAATTCAAAGATGATGACAATAGCAGAGACAATGCATTGAGTGATTTTTTTTTCCTTTTTATTTCCAACAAATACAGCACCCGCCTGGCCTGGGATATATAGGAAGTGGGGTTGTGGATGAACAGAGGACTTGGGTAGGGCAAAACAGGTGGGAAGAAGTTGTGTGTGTGTGTGTGTGTGTGTGTGTGTGTGTGTGTGTGTGTACAGAGGAGGTGGGGTGAACTGAGAAAGTAGCAAGGTTTTCTTTCCTGCTTCTGTTCTACAAGTGAGATTTGCAACTGGGAAAGACAGGAAATGTCCGGTGATGACTTTTATCCCAGAATGCTGTTAGGGCACACAGTGCATGGTGGAAGAAAACACCCAGATTTAAAACAAACAAAGAAAGGTGAAAGAAAGAAAGAAAGNAGGAAGGAAGGAAGGAAGGAAGGAAGGAGAAAGGAAGGAAGGAAGGAAGGAAGGAGAAAGGAAGGAAGGAAGGAGAAAGGAAGGAAGGAAGGAAGGAAGGAAGGAAGAAGGTGGTAGGGTTGGCAGGAGGGAGAGAGAGAGGGAAGGGAAGAAAGAAAGCAAAAAAAGAGGGAGGGAAGGAGGAAGGAAGGAGGGATTCTCTAGCCCCTAAAAAGGGCAGGATCTCCTGCCCCTCCCCTTGCCCTGTGGGAGGGGCCATTGGAGACCCACGATCATGATTGAAAGTGCAGTTTTGTGTCCCAGCAGTGAACCACAGTGGGGAAATGGGAAGAGTGTGTGTGTGGGGGGGGGGTAGGAGACCCAGTGATGCAGAAAGGAATACGTTCCCCCTAGGATCTGCAAGGGGGGAAGGTGGGCGTGGCTGCACCTGCTTGGCAGCTGGAGAAGGGGCCCAGCCTCCGTGGTGCTCCTCGCCTTCCTCCTTGGGGTGCGTCTAAAGAGAGGGCCGAGTTTAAAAAAAAGTCTCCCCAGAAAAACACCAGAAGAGGAAGCAACTCTTGTCTGTCCCGATTTGCTTGATTTTTCCAAAGTGTCAGTGTGAAAAATATATATATATATATTTATATTTATATATATTTATAGGCTGCTAAATCACAGAGTCCAGGAGGCTCACACTTCGGTTTGGAAGTCGCCCTCTGACAGGTCCAGGCTCATGCAATGTTTCTCCCAGTCGGCCGAGTGCAGCTCCAGCTTCTCCCGCGGCTTGGAGGGCAGCGAGCTGAGCGTCAGGGCCTTGAAGGTGCTCCAGGACCTCTGCTTCTGCCGCTGGCTCTCCGGGCTGGGGACCTCTGGCTGAAGGAAGGAAGGAAGGAGGGGAAGAGGAGGGAGGCTCAGGGCGGAAACCCCACCCCCTCTGGGACTCCCAGAGGTCCAGTTGGAGGTCCTCTTTCCTTTCTTTCTTTCTTTCTTTCTTTCTTTCTTTCTTTCTTTCTTTCTTTCTTTCTCTTTCTTTCTTTCTTTCTTTCTTTCTGTCTTTTCCGTCCTTCCTTCTTTCCTTCCTTCCTTCCTCTTTTTCTTTCTTTTCCTTCCTTCCTCCTTCCTTCCTTTTTCCTTTCTTTCTTTTCCTTCCTTCCTTCCTCTTTTCTTTTTCTTTCTTTCTTTCTCTTTTCCTTCCTTCCTTCCTTCCTTCCTTTTTTTTCCTTCCTTCCTTTTTTCTTTCTTTCTTTCTTTCTTTCTTTCTTTCTTTCTTTCTTTCTTTCTTTCTTTCTTTTCCTTCCTTCCTTTCTTCCTTCCTTCCTCTTTTCTCTTTCTTTCTTTTACTTTCTTTCTTTCTTTTCTCTTTTCCTTCCTTCCTTCCTTTTCTTTCTTTCTTTTTTCTTTTCCCTTTCTTCCTTCCTTTTTCTCTTTCTTTCTTTCTTTCTTTCTTTCTCTTTTCCTTCTTCCTCCCTTTCTCTTTCTTTTCCTTCCTTCCTTCCTTGTCTTCCTTCCTTTTCCCTTCCTTCCTCTTTCTTTCTTTCTTTCTTTCTTTCTTTCTTTCTTTCTTTCTTTCTTTCTTTCTTTCTTTCTTTCTTTCTTTCTTTCTCTTTCTTTCTTTCCTGCACTCCTGTTTTTGCTCTTTTCTGATATTATTTTTTCTATTTTTTTTCTGTTTCTTACATTTTATCGTTTGTTGAAAGTTAATAAAGTCTTACAAAAAAAACCAGATTTCAACAGAAGAGAAGATATGTAGCTCAGGGTTGACTGGTGGATCTCTTGGTGCTCTCCGAGGTTGGTTGTTTGCATGCAGGTATTTCATTACCCAACTAGGTGTTATCACTGCTCATGAGTGTGGAGTTTGCTCCCTGGTTATATACCGTAGCTTGCCAGTGTTGGTGGGGGTGTGGTTTTTCTCCTTAATTGCTTATCTGGTGTTAATCACCATTTATCCTAGACTAGAGCAAGCTAAATCCAAAACTGCTGGGAATTCCTGGAGTTTGCAGTTCAGACCAGTCAGCCCTCAATAGACACATAGAGATAAACCACATTTGCACACCATTCAGAAGAGATAGTAATAAAGTTGAGAAGGAAATGAAAAGACCAGAATACGGTCTCTCCGGCAGAAATCAGAAAACAATACCTTAATCAACGTACTATCAAGGAGAAAACCACACCCCCATTAATCTTGGCAGACAAGCTACTATATATAAACAGATGTACTTGTGTAATTAAATGTTTGCAAGCAGACAACCAAGCCTGCAAGGATTCCACACATCTAGAGAAGCAGGGATTAACACCAGGCAAACAAAACAGAAAACAATATGCTAATCAAGAAACTGCTGAGAAAAAAACCCAAAACCCCGCCCTCCTCAACACTGTCAGGGCAAACGATTGTATATAAACAAGGAACAAACTCCACACTCACTGAGTTGAGTAATGAAACATCTGCAAGTAAACAGCCAAGCTGAGGGAGCACCAAGGACTCCGCACAACTCAAGGTTCATTGAACTACGGTTTATGGGAAAAACTCTACGGCTGACTTCACTCATTGCACGAAGCGAAGTGTAGTGAAAATCTTTATAGTAGGGAAGCCATGTGTGAAAAAAAGCCTGCCAGGCAAAA